ACACAATGGCTAAGTTAGATTGTTTATTTGTTTGTTTGTTTGATTGTTCGTTTGTTTGTTCGTTCATTCACGCATTCATTCATTCATTCATTCATTCATTCATTCATTCATTCAAACAGCAACAATGAGTGAATGCAGCTTCTTGTTATTGATGTTTGTGGAGAGAGGGACTCTGTGTTCCTACAAACATCTGGTCTCTCTGAAACCAGCTGTTTATCTCCAGAAAGAGTCCGGCTTACAGAGTCACTCCGGGACCAAACTGGTTCTGTTAGGATCTTTTATCGAGCTCACAGTCTCATGAAAAGACACGAGACAGGATCCAGAGGATTACAGTCAGCTCTAAAAATAATATAATGATAAAGTCCTCCTAGAAACAGCTGAAGGTCTCTGTGGTTCCCTTTTATATTCCTGGTGACCGATTAAACAGCAGGTTTAAAATCAGACGTGTTATTTTATCTGGTAATTCACTTTTACTGTTTTTAATATTAAAGCTTTTATTTTGCTCTGTGCATTTCTATTGTGTCCTTTTCTGTCTCTGTCTTCCTCGTGTCTCGTCCCACATTAGTTCTCCCTCCTCCTGCTGTCACCTCCTCTTCTGACTGTTGTTGGTTACAGGTGCTGGCAGGGCTTTGGCCACGGCACAAACAGAACCGGGCCAACTTCAGCATCATTGCTGGCCCACGGGCCGTCATCACAGGAACAGCTGGGAAATTTAATTCACCTGCCAAAAATGGGCAAATATGTCATTTTGTGATCCAGCTGCAGAATTTCATGCAGATTTGGTGCATTAAGTTTGTTTCCAGGTGTCAGATAATGACTGAAATTTTGGCTTTGGATTTTTATTTAAACAACAGAATAATTTGATCGGACAGGAAGTCTTTTCTGAGTCCCAATCAGTGCTGACAGAGAGAAACAATATCTGTGATTTTACTGGAAATGTTTTACTCCACTCCAGAAGTAGTTTGAGAACTGATCATTACATTTTCCACAACTATATTTCCTCAAGCAACATTTGAGTTACTTGAATGGTTGTCAGCAGCAAAACTGGATGTGTTTCATGTGTGAAGGAGAAAATCCTCTCTTCCCTGCAGCATCTATCAAAAATGTCTGAAAAAATATTCCATCTGCTGCAAAAGGCGTCTTTCTGCAGCCGAGGAAGGTACCAGCTGTGACTGACTGCCTCTGGTATCCATTCATTCTCCTCAGGGTAAACCAGCTGTTACAGATGTTGTCCATAAAGAGCAAAGAGGCAGGAACTTGTAACCCAGAGTGCATTTTCCACCAACCATAACCTCAGAATCAGAACCAAACACAAACAGGGACACAAACATAAACGTTAGGAGACCAGGGGGCAGATTTACTGTTCAGGGCAGTTTACCATCTGGTTGATAATTATGAATACAGCCAATGGGAGAGTTGGGTTCAGAGAATGGGATTCTAAAACACAACCAACTCATTTCTATAATAACCAGAACAAACACCAGAACCAGTACTGATTAGTACAGCGCCTCGGGCTGAGCAGAACTGTTACTGTTGTTGCCTCCAGGCCTCGTTTTGGTTTAACCCCTTTGTTTGGATGAGTTTTTACTTTTATAGTGCAAACTCTGAGTGAACCAGAGGGATCTTTTTGTGTGATTAAAAAGGTTAACTTGGTTTGTTGCAATATTATTGACTCCAGTTTTAAACACCTTCGGTTCGGTAAAGCTTTTAATATAAGATTTTACCAGGTGTTTTTATAGTTGGTAATTTGTGTAATGTTAACCTTTTTGGGAGTTTTTGTTAGCTGTGCATTATCTTCATAATGCTCGCCATCTGTTTGCTTGTTTTTAGAACCTTTTACTACAAATAAAACCATTTTAAACTCCACTGTCATATTTCTTATGTTACCCCCCTCCTTCAACATTTTAACATCTCCTGTCAGGGACGTAACAGGGCTGCTGCAACACACACACGCACACACACACACACACACACACACACACACACACACACACACACACACACACACACACACACACACACACACACACACACACACACACACACACACACACACACACACACACACACACACACACACACCTGACTGTCCTGACTGCTGCTGCCCTTTTGTACACATAATGTGATGCAAAATGAATGAATGAATCACATGAATTTACTGTTAAACGATAATTATTCTACACACGAATGAAACTTATCCAATGAAAGACACCAAAGAACATTTTACTGGTTAAGTTATAAAGCAAGGCAGGACTCTGACAGAAGACAAGCAGAAACAGAGAACCTGAGAGCTGTCAGAGCTGTAAAAAATCAGCTGTGATGTCTGAAAACATCTGGCAGAGAAATTGTCTCTGTAGCAGTGGGCCGTAGAGTGATGAGCCCTGAAGAGCTGATGATCACATATGAGGTGATGCTGAACAGGATTGGATGATAGGTGATGCTGAGAGAGGAGATGAAGAGGAAGTCGGGTACCAGAATGGTGATGAAGGATTGTTTACAGCATGATTTATTGTTCTGTAAGGTGAATTAGTGATGGACGGCTGATGATGAAAAATATTTTGTTTGATGGACACGCATGAACGCACGCACGCACACACACACACACACACACACACACACACACACACACACACACACACACAAAAACACACACACACACACGCAATCTGACTGCTACAGCATGTGGGAAGTGTTCTGTGAAAGCAAACAACACCCCCCTCTGTCCCCATCTAACACCTCATTTCTTTCCACCACCATAACTGGCGGTCCTGCTTTACAACATCTCTGGTAGAAAGCATCACACCGGGCCTGCCCTCCGTCTGCTCGACTGGCTCGATGCCAGAATGAAGAGGAGATGTGAGGAGAGACAGAAAATGTTGATAAAGGACGGGGTCACTGACGGACTTGGTTTCCTTTAATATGACATCATCTAAATGAAAGGGTGAGATTTTTAGAACATTTCTCTCCATCCTATTAAACCATCCTTATCTTGTTAGTGGTTCTAACACAATAACAGACACTATAGATGCTGCAGATGAGAAAACACATCAGCTCTCTGCTGTAGTGGGTGGAGACACTTTGTTGTAGATGGATGAAATCCTCCAAGCTGTACAAAATGCTGCACAGACAGAAAGTCAGAGCGACAGAGAAATGTAGCTGAGAGCTGCAGCCATGGTCATTCATGCTGCTGTCACCACACACCTGAGATTTGGAGCAGAATGTGTGAACTTCCTAACTTCTGCTCCAGTTGCTGTTTACACGTGAACCTCCCAGCAGGATGTTTTCAGCTGGAGATGAGAATGAGGGGGTTCAGGGGAGCATCAGGGGAGCAGGACAGGATGCAGAAAGTACAATATGGAAATGATCCTGTTTCATTTTTATAGCATGTTGAGAATAACAAACGAGGCTCCTGATTGTGATGATTTTAATATCAAACACATCTGAGCGTGTTGATGAGACGAGGAGCGAAGTGAAAAACAACCTCCCTGTCTGCCGAAAAGTAAAGGAAGCAGGAGGAGCTGCTTCCTGCTAACAAACTCAATCACAGTAACATCTCTAACAAACTGCTGCAGAATTTCTCAGCTTCTTTTTATCCTGATACTTTTATGAGGATGAGGGGAAAAGAAGAGTAAACTTCTGACATTTAATTAGCACCACCCAACCCAGAAGTGGAGGTGTGTGAAAACTGCTCAGAGTCCTAAAGCTGAAAGGATTCATTCTATCTGCAGAAATAAATTCATTCATTCATTCATTCATGAACACATGTTCCAACTTGTTGCGTACATTTTTCTAAATATTCCAGGAACATGTTCTGATATGTGTCCCATCGCATCAGAGGACATGAAACTGGTCCTGACTCAGATGAAAGAGTCTTCATCCATATTCTAAAATCCAGGCATCTCCATGAAAGCCGACCCGTCCACAGAAACGTTCTTTATCACAACATGTTTCCCATCACTCACCTATTCAACACTGATGTCACATTGTGCTGATGTTTACCTCTAGATTCTCCTCTCCCTTCTCTCATTTCTCACACCCAACAGAGATTTCTACCGCTGGTGGCATTCTGGCTCCACTGAGGTATTTTAAGATGAGCTTGATGGATGGAAGAGTCCTCGCTTTTCAACATATTTTCCATCACCAGCTGGAGATTTAAAGCAATGTTTTTGTCTTCGACTAAAAAGATGGCCACTACTTCATGTCAAAAGCACAAACCAACACAAATAAGCCCAAATAGCAGCACACAGCATGAAAACAGCTCTACAGTCTGGATCAGATAAATCTCTCAGCTCCTCAAAGCTTTTTGTCACTAATGTTTTATTGCCGACTATTTCTACTCAGTTATCACTGTAAATTTACTGAATGCATAAGAAACTGCTTTATGCCAGAATCTCTCCGATTTAAACATGATTTACCTTCACAGACTTGTTTTTAGGAGGAGATTCAGAGTAAATGTGCTGATAATTCTGGTGATTTATGCAGAATATTTACAGTAAATAACAAGTCAGCCTGATATTTCACAGAAATCTGTTAAACCAAAGAAAATGAAAGAATTGCAGTTCTAAATCAAAATTTTCTTTAAAGTTATTTTCCCAGTAAAGCAAGTTTCTTTCACCCTCAAGAGAGCCCTTTTAAATTTTTAAACCCTTCTTCTGGTGCATCAGCTCTTCTGCCTGTTAGATAATGGAGATAGTTTGCACCAAGAAAAAGCAGCTGATGTGTGCGATCACAGCTCCCTGTGGTACGATGCAGCTAACTGGGCCCACTGCCATAAAGAAAACTGCTACATTGGCCCAAAGTAGTTTCCAGTTGGGAGGAGGACCGAGTCAGATCAGGAACACTTAGATGTTAAAACCACCGAGTGTCTATGGAGACGTTAAACACTCTGAGCTGGTTTCCTCAGAAACACAAAACCAACTGAATCAGAACTCTTCCAGCTGTGACTAAACGCTGCTGTGAGGACTGAAGCCTTCTGTGTTTAGAACTCAGAGTTACTTTACCTGCCTCAGACCGTCTCTGCTGTTCTGCATGATCCTCAGGGCATAGTTAGACCTTTGACCTTTGCTGTTGAACTCAATGTGGCCCGTTAGACCGTCCAACTCTACCTATCCAACACAGAAAAAAAGTAGAAAGGTAAAATATTCACTTGTAACATTCCGCTTGCTTCCATCCCAGCAGGGTCATGTGACCCAAGGCTCCTCTGATCAGTCTTTAAAAATAAATAATACAGTTTAATTTGATAAAGAGTTTAAACACCTTAACAGCAAAAAGAAAACAATTACTGCTCTTGTTTCTCTGAGTATTACAGATTATTATAAAATAAGAGTCTCGTTCATGTATTTTGATCAATATTAGTCTGCAACAAGAAATCACTTTTTATCGTCTGACAGCTCGTCTTTATCTCAGTTTAATGTAGAGACAAGATAAACTGACGGAGTGAAGAGGGAGTACAATCTTCCACTGAGATGGAAGCAGAGACGTTATCTGCTGTCAGTGGAAATATTGAGGCCATAAAACAGCAATCAGCAAATAGAGAGAGACAAAACTGAAGACTTTATCACACTGACATAATGAAGTTTAACATGAAAAAAACACAAAATAATGAATCTATGTCTTTTTTTCTAAATCTAACAGAACCTGTGGATCACGTGAAGACTCGTTTGAGTCTAAAACCAGTTTATTTCAAACAATTTTACTTCTAATGAAAGCTTTAATAATACTTGAAAATCAAGCTAAAAATAGGAAGATGTTTGTGGAAGCATTAAATCACAAAAGGAATCAATAATTTCTTTGACATAAATGTTGATATTAAAAAGCATGAAAACTTCAACATAAAAATCACATTCAAATGTATTTTTTGGGTTTTCTTCTCACAATACAAATATTTTACTATTAAAGGTGTGGCTTACGCGTTTATTCAGTACAGTTGCAGTGCTCTCTAGCATAAATCCTTATGTGTCATGAAAACAAAAATCTCTGGTTCTGAGGTGCAGAAGTTTGCTGGTGCAGAGGTGGGTTGAAAACAGCACGAGTACTCATTATTAATAATGATATGAACACACCTCACTTCTGATTGGCTAACAGAATGTCAAAGTCACTATCACCAACACACTCTCCGCTCTCTCTTCTCGCTACAATAATAATAAAAAGCCTTCCTGTGGGCAAGCAAACAAAGATGGGCAACACCATGAATGCAGATTCACAGTGTGACATCACAGTGTGAGGATTTTTAAATCCTAGCATTTCACTGTCTGTTTTCCATCCAAAGCTGATGCAGTAGATAGGTGTAGGAGGTAGTTTTCATGTTCAGCCTGCATGAAAAACTTACCCCAAAATTCCACTACCTCCGCTCCGCTCCGCCCCCGCCTTCCGCAGCCGCTCGCTTCCGAACTCAATTTTTACTGGTACCCGCTCTACAACGGCTCCGCTCCGGTACGGAGACCTGAGGTGTGCAAACAAGCATGCGCAGGATTTTCGAGATCTTGCGATACAGTCCGAGCAATAAACGCGGAAGTTAGATCCAAACACCCGTTGTGTGGGAGAAGCATCGAAATGAACTGTTTAATGTGCCCATCATTTGTGTTGAGAGATCAGCAGTGTTTGGATCAACAAAGGGCGACAACTTTGATAGTGGAAACTGTATTTATGGCTCATTTTTGTGCATTTTAAGTTCAGCCGCCATTGATAGTTGTTAAAAGTTGTTAAACCTTTGCATACGAAACAAAAAACGCTTTTTGTTTATCGATTTATTGTGAAATAACGGAAGTTGTGCTTGCTCCCTTTCCTGTTGGGCGGTTGTGATTTCTGTCCATTGACTGCGGAGGTGCTCCGGCGTACGGCGAAAATAGAATCGATCCTATTTTTGCCGGATGGCAGAACGGCGGGTGGCGCACTGCGCCGCACAGCAGCAGTAGTGGAACAGCTCTGATTGACTACAACGGGACCGATTTTGCTGCGGAGTTCGTGCCGGAGCAGAGGTAGTGGAATTTTGGGGTTAGAGTGACAGATTATAATCAGAAATAATCATTAAAAATGTTTATTCAGTCAACTACACCTTTAAAACATAATATTCTTTCTTAAATTATAGATAAACCAACAACCATAAAGACCAAAATAAGCACAAGTTAAAGCTTCAACAACACAGGTGATCTTACCATCCTGAGGTAGTTCATGAGGCTGGTACCATGCTCCCAGATCTTGGAGGACTTGCAGGAGAGCTGAGTGGCTCCAACATTCTGGCTGCGGTTCAACTCCTGAACCGCTGTAACCACCGCGTACACGGCATCAAACAGCAGAGCTGACGAGAGCTACAGAGGAAGAGGAAGTTGAATCCCTAATGACTAACCACACTAAAACACACACAAAGCTACTCAGACAAAGTGTATCATGTCAGTGGTTATAGGAGAGCTAGGGGTCAACCTGTCTGTGGAGTGGAGGTGAGATTATTCCATTAGATCATTAGAAAGACTCAGATCTGCTGACGGTGCTGAACGCGTCTCACAGAGAGACTCTGTCCTTCCTGCTCTCTTCTCCAAAGGAAGCTGGAACACCCTGACTTTTCCAATTACTGCTTCCCTCCCTCAGCAAGAGCCAGAAAACCGCTTCTCCTCTCATCCTCCCTGAACAAACATCCTCGTCGTCACTAACAGCTGATGCACACGTTTTATTAGCGTGTACACCATTCTGGAATTTAAATGTTTTAAAGATTTGACTCAAGACTGAGACCAAATGCACCAAAGCATTTCATATAACACACATTTTACATTTTTTTATCTCTAATTCAACAATTGTGCCTCGTTCTTTGCCGCCAACCAAACAGCATCTCACTGGACCAGAGTTGCATTCAAATGAAAACCAACCCAGTTCCATAAAGTCTTGGTGTAGCAAATAGAAGCTGAGTTTCAAAAAGCTGAGCTGTTTGTGACACATTTAGAGTTAAAAACGTATCATCTGCTGAAAGCTGGTAGGATTTTTGTGTCTAGAGAATGAGCTCAGGGGACAGAATCAGTCAGGCACACTACTGCCTTAACTACATCAGGTCAGGCATGGATTCATCGTTTTATGCAGTGATCCATGTCAGACTTTGTTACATGTAACTTAAAAAAATCTGTTGTTTATTTGATGAAGGAGATATCAAGAGCAACTGAAGCAAATGTAGGTGCAAAACATCTGTGGTGAATCAGTCAGGGAGCACATGTGATAAACGGTGATTAGGTTAGAAATAATGTTTGCACCATGTGTCACAAAATTTAAATCCAATGCATGAAACCATAAAACGTCATTAACTCAGAAAAAATAACCAAAATTCATCAGTTACATTTATGTGATAAACAATAATTTTTAGTAAACCAGCTCCACTCACATTAACAGTTTGTAACGCCTTTAAATCTATTTTAACTGTGTGTCTGTGTCATTTTTTATTTAAAATAATGAGAATATATTTTATTTTATGTCAAAAACATGTAATATTCTGCATTTTTATAAAATTTAATTGGTTTTCATAAATACACTTTCCACCCTCCTACATTTTCTCTTTTTATAATTGGTGCCATACTTGAACTCTGTCTCAGTTTAACGTCTGACCTGCAGAGGTTGTTCGTTTATGTGAGCATGAATCTCAGTGTGTTGTTATGTTACATGTCTGAGTTAATCAGGTCTATGCTTGCTTGCTGTCAGCTCTTATTCATTACAGTTATTAGCTAATTAACCACAAGTCCCAATTTCTATAAGCTGACGAGTGTCTGAGTGTCCTGCTGCATGACAACGACACGTTCTTCGGTTTCTAACCTGCTTCACCACACAGATTCAGCACAGCAGATGGACCAGTTTGTTTTCTTTTATTTTCTATTGAATTCAAACACAGAAGAATTATTTATAATTTGACTTTAGTGACTCCATTTTTCTTAACTAACAGTTTCTTTTCGCCTGTAATAAGGCCGTGATGTTATGAGTGACACTTGGAGACAAACGAGTGACAACTCTTCACCTTTGGGGCTTATTAAGAAGTCAGATGGTGCCCATAAATCTGAGCCTCACAAACATGTTTATGCAGGTAGTTAACCAGGTTTTATTTGATGAATCGGAGGCAGGAAAGCACAAAGATGTTGCAATAACAATAAAACCTCTTTATGCAGGAGCCTCAATAAGGATTTGTTAAACAAAAACCAGTTCAACAATAAGATTAAAGCAAATATCTTTGTTTGTGCTGCATTACAAACATGCATTATCATAATAAACATGATTGTTTTCCTGAAGTCAATTGTTTATTATTGTTGTTTGTTGTTTATTATTTTAGTAACCCTATTAGCTGCAGCGAGCTGCTGCTATTCTTCCTGGGGACCTATTTATACAACTTCATAAACAATGTTTACATCAAATAGATAAAAAGACAAAATAATAATAATAATAATTAATTAATTAAATATGAAAACACTAAAAATACAGAAACAAGTCTACCCCACCAAAGCAACATTGATTATCATAACAGATATAATTTTACCATCCCAAGGCTTCCAGTATATTATACACTTATTTTTCATAACATAATTAACCCTTTAAATAATAATAGTAAAATAAAATGAATAATATCAAAATAAAAAGTTCTCTTTTTACATACAACAAAAATGTTTTTTAATCTAATTTTAAATTAGTTTTTACCCCTAATATGTGAGATTTCTTTTGGGAGACGATTCCACTCGTACATCCCTCTATACATTGCTGTATGTTTGAAAGCATCAGATCTTACTTTTGGTAACGTATATTTATCTTCTAAGGCATGTCTTGTGTCATACAAGTGCTTTTCTTTACTAAATTCAAGAGATGGCATCTTTGTCTCCCTAAGCTTCCAAATAAAAATAAGCAGTGAATATAATAGTTGGTTGTATACAAATAGCCAATTTAGTTCCATGTACATATCTCTTACATTTGTTTTATTATCCTTTTTTAATACTAATCATGCAGCTCTGTTTCGGATTTTCTGTAGTTTTCAATTGTTCCTACATTTGCATTTGACCAAACTATAGAACAATAATCCAAATGTGATAATAGCAATGCTTGTGTAAGATGTTTCAGAGCAGACTGATTGAAAAATGGTGCACATCTTTTGGTGGAAGCTATTACACCACCCATGTTCTTTGCAATAGTATTTAGGTGCTGTTTCCAAGACAGCTGATAGTCTATAGTAATACCCAAAAGTTGAATTTCCTGTACTTGTTTAATTGACTCATTTCCTATAGTTAATTTTAACGCTGGGTTGCTTCTTAATACATGTTTAGAAGCAATCACAATGGAGTTAGTCTTAGCAACATTCAAGACCAATTGGTTTTGCTTTACCCAGTCTAACACATATTTTACTTCTTTATTCAACACTGAATTTAGTTTTTCAATAGATTTAGCATTATAGCACTGTTGAATCATCTGCATACATTACTGTTGTTGCTTTATCCAGCACAAAAGGCAGATCACACATAAAAATGAGCATTAACATTAAATATTCTGACCCAGTTCAGATGAATTGTGGGTAATTTCAGAGGAGAGCTGAGGAGATGAACACCTCCTGTGTTCCCTCTGAAGGAAACTGAACAAGGTAGGTGTCGTTATAAGAGTAATAAGGGAGTGCTAACTGATGCTAATGAGCTGTCTGAGGAAGAAGAATTACCTGCAGCAACAACTGAAATTACAGCAGTTAATTGGATAAATGTCATATTTAAATACTTCACAATATTTAATAATAGTGTTTCAGTTCATTAATGTGTTCAGAAAACGTTCAGTGACGTAACTTTTTCCTTGGTGTAAGGCAAAGAAGCTCCTGTTTGGAGATAATTAACTCCAAAGAGAGCTCATTAGTCTTTGATCTGAGAGGATTTACAGAATGTGTGTAACTGACCGGAGTGCCGGCGAAGGGCGCGTGGTCACAGTTCTCCTGCCAGGAGCGATTCAAGCTCAGCACAAACTCCTGGAAGAAAGGATGAGTTCTGTTGAAGACTGAAAAACCCAAGATGTTGACTCGTTGGTCCGCCACATCGTCCAGTCGTAGCAACGTGAATTCCTGCAGAGAAGAAGAAAACAGATTAATAATCCAGATGGGAGCTTTTCTGCCTCCATCCACCATCTTTGTTAGAATTTTACCAAATGACTTAATTTCCTTGACGTTGGATGTGCTACTACTAGTTTACCCGTTTAATTATAGATCCACTAGGATATATACAATAAAGTTTATCTTTCACCAAATAGAATATTTACTAAGACATCACAATATAACTGTAGACACATTACTGTGTGTGTGTGTGTGTGTGTGTGTGTGTGCGTGTGCGTGTGCGTGCGCGTGCGCGTGTGCGTGTGCGTGCGTGTGTGTGTGTGTGTGTGTGTGTGTGTGTGTGTGTGTGTGTGTGTGTGTGTGTGTGTGTGTGTGTGTGTGTGTCTGCTCTGTCTTCTCGATCCCCAGTGAGTCGTGGAGGATGGCTGCTTATACTGAGCCAGGATTCTCTGGAGGTTTCTTCCTGTTAAAAGGGAGTTTTCCTCTCCACTGTCGCTTTATGCTTGCTTAGTATGAGGATTGCTGTAAAGTCACTGACACTAGTCAGTGACTTGATGCAATTTGCTGGGTTCCTTATATAGGAAACATTATTTCTGATTGGCTTAATGAACTGACCTGAATTGGAATGTTTATTATGTGAAGTGCCTTGAGACGACTCTTGTCGTGATTTGGCGCTATATAAATAAACTTGAATTGAATTGAATTGAATGAATCTGTGTCAAGGTAAAACAAGTGTGTGTTCATCAAACAGGTTCATGTCTGTTTTCATTTGCAGGACTCAGTTTTCATTGACTTTCATTACTTTGGTTGAACTGACAAGAAAAAGCTGCAGAATTTTGTCAATTTCCCGTTTATCTGCATCAGTGAATTATACGAGCTTCACTGTCCACAAGCAACTCCTCACATGCAAGGAGCAGAACTATGGATAAATCTAAAAGTAAATGAGTTTGAACTATGGTGAGACAGAAAGAGGCAGAGACAAACTGGAGGACACTGTGACATGTGCATGATTGAGATTAATTTCCTCAGCATGCAAAAATGTTCTGAAAATAGGAAAATATGAGTCATTTTGTTATTTTGCTCTTCAGCTCCAGGGACATTTCCTGCTGCCTGGGGACCAGCAGATGGGGGACAGAGTGGGAGATGAGGGAGGAGAGGAAAAATAGGACAAAGGGGTGTGACAGAGGACGGATGTCTCCTGAAGGTTAATAGATGTGTCAGAAACCAGTCCCCCCTCAGGTGGCGGCCTTCACCTGCAAACCCTTTGTGTCAACAAGCTTATGACAGCCAGACCACCTTGGCCCACCTGTATGCCTGTCCCCTACTGAGGCAGGGACTCTGAAGATCAAACGGATTAGAGGGGCAGTGATGTGAGAGGAAGGGTGGCAGGTGAGAACAAACGGAAACAGATACGGGTAGTGTGCTCTGATAGTTGTAACCTGTAATTAAACTTTCTCCAGAATATTTAGAAGTAAGACTCCACATCAGGCTCACTCTGCTAATGGCGGATCTCTCAAATGAAGCATCCGGACACACTTTGACACTGTGCAGGGTTTTAAAATCTTTTAGTGATATTTTATTTCCCCTTCTACGTACCTTCAACTGTTTTAATCTCAAATTTAGAAAAATTTAATTTCATGGCAAATTCATAAAATTAGAGCTTCATTATTGTTTATGTATGCTGCACCTTTAAACAGTTTTGTGCCTGTGTGTAATGCAGACATTATTTTGTGTTTTATTTACAGAACAACAAATGCAGAGCAGTGCAACATGAGAAGTTTCTAAATAAACAAACACACTTCCAGATGCTGTACCTTCTTCAAAATTTCATGCAGTAAATCATATTTTTTTCAGCACAATGCCGGCTTAATGAAACCCAACTCATCCGTTACAAGCATGGAGCAGGTATAGAAAATGAATAGATGCATAAACATAAAATAAAGTACATGTCAGGGCAGAGAAACCCTGAACAGCTTTATAATGAGAGATAATAAAAACCTGTCAGATCTGAGGCACAAAACAACAGAAATATGAAAATATTCTTTTCATCTCAGAGAAAAATGGATCAGTGAGTTATTAGATAAATGAGATAATGGATGTCCAGAAAGAGTAACAGGTCTGTGCATCAAGCAACCAGTGAGCAATAAGGTGGAAAAAGCTCTCAGACCACAAGACGAAGCACCGTGAGTCACGCCACTGTGAAGGCAGAGGTGACTGAACTGATCTGAACTCAGAGCAGGAAGAGACGGTCAATATTGACTCTGTGTGGGAGGACCATGATGCCCGGTGCCAACCTCCCAGAGACCTGCAAGCTCCAAATGTTCTGCTGTGATGACATGCAGCAGAACATTTCTGAGGCATCGACCTATACGACAAATCTATTAGTAAAGACTTTTAAAAGGCAGCAGAAGAAAACCTTTGTCAGAAAGCAGATTGATTTTCTTTGTTTTGTTTTTTTATCGCCTTTGTGTGAATCTCTTCTCTAGTTTTCTGAACCACTTTAATTGTGCAGTTAAACTTGTATTTTATTATCTAAACTTGTATTTTATTATCTAAACTTGTATTTTATTGTGGTAGTGAAATGACCCCCCCCCCCCACACACACACATCCAATGAGACATGATTCAAACCGACTGGACTTCAGCATTTAACATTAGAGCTCAGACAGCTGCAGGCTGAAGGTTTGTTTAGTTTAAATGTCTATGACATAATTCAATCATCAAAGGAGAAGAAATGCAGTTTGAACAGTAATTGTTGCTGATTTCAACACAAAATAGTCCCTGTTAGTTCAGGTTTGTTTGTTTTTGTTCCTCTTCCTTTTCCTTTATTATAAAACTTTAACTGTTTGAGAAAAGAAAACATGCCTGGATCTATATTTGTCCTGCACCAACGTGTCTCTTAAGCTACAGAATGTAAAACCCATTTAATACTTTAATAACCATCTAAGAGTTCATCATAATTAGAGGATGTAGCACTTTTAAAATATTTGATAGTTTTTTTCCCTTTTATTCTAGATGAGGCTTCTTGGTTTTGCCTCATTAAAACACATATCGTTTATACATCTTTTGTATGTTCTTGCTGTGTTTGTCTTCTAATTTCATTTTTGGTTCTTTTTTAAAACACAGATAAGGTTTCTCTTTACCTTTCTGGCGGTTTCGTTTGCGGCTGCAAACATCCTCAGACCTGACGCTGATGGTGGCGTCACTTCCTACTCCCTTTATCCGTGGACGACAACGTCCTCTGCTGCCCGCGGAGAAACGGAGTAGGAAGTGACGCCACCATCAGCGTCAGGTCTGAGGATGTTTGCGGCCGCAAACGAAACCGTCAGCAAGGTAAAGAGAAACCTTATCTGTGTTTTAAAAAAGGACCAAAAATGGAATTACAAATCGTTTCTTTTTATTTTCTTTGTTTTCCTTTTATTATAATAATAAAACTAAAGTAAATGCAGACACAGGATATCAAATCTCTGAATTTCAAACACTTACAAAAGCATCCAACAGCTTAAATAAGAATATTTATATTTCATTTATTATTTGCTGTAAAGTAAAATTTAAGACAAAACATAAAGCCGTTATTAATTCACGTGCATCACATTAAGACACGAGCTCCTCTACAGAGCTCTCCTGTATTTATAAAACCCTTGTGGGCCCTCATGAGCCTGTTGGGACATCGATATAATTACCGGTACTGACTAAGTCAACTTTCATAGATCATTAGAGGCAGAGCTCTGCAGAAAAGCTAGCATTAACTACAACCCTCCAGGAGGTCCTGCCTCTACGTATAAATATATAAACACATGCAAGACTACACATATAGTCACTAAATATCATGGCATAAGAACACACACACACACACAGACACACATGCACACACACACTCACACTGCTGCTGGTCTGCAGAAACCTTTTTCATGCATATATATAATTATTAAGATTTGTTTGTAAAATCCTGCTTCCACATGTGTCAGAACCCAAGCCCCCAGGCCGACCTCTCCCAGCTAACCGGCCTCCATCTTGAACCACATTTCCCAGCATGCTCCTCGCGGGAACTCCCGGCATTCTCCCAGTCACACCCAAGCCTATATATGGAAGACGCCGCACCGGCTCTTCACTCAGTCATCGTTTCATTGAAACCCCTGATCAGAGTTCTCTACCGAATAATCCAGATATCAAACATCTTTACCAAGCTCAACTCCAGTACCCAGTGGACCATCGAGACAGGATGACTGAGTCCGTAGATCCAGCGGAGTTCGAGCGCATGAAAAGAAAGACGGAGCAAATGGAAAATGAACTCATTCAGCTCCACGCCCTGATCGATCGGCTCCACACCAAACAAAACTCCCAGACCGATCTCATCCTACAATTATCCACAGCCCGCCATGCTCTCCAGCAGCAAGCCCTCGCTCCACCAACAGAGGGGCCGCACTTTAGTCTCCCAGAGAGGTGGAACGGAGAGACGGGGGAGCCCAGACGGTCTGCTCGCCACCCTCGACATGCAGTTTGAGTGCCAGCCAGGGCGCTTCCCCACTGCGCGCTCTCGGGTGGCACATCTCACCTCCCTGCTCTCCGGACGCGCGGCTGAGTGGGCCGCTGCGCTTTATAATTCAAATCACCGGCTTGCAATGACTATGCTGCTTTTGTGTCCGCCCTCAGAAAGACTTTTGTTCCACCCAGCAGCGAAGTGGGAGCAGAAACACAACTCCAAGCTCCGCCAGCGGGAGCGCACGGTGTGCGCTTATGCGTCGGAGTTCCGCACCATCTCCGCCAAGCTGCGGTGGGATGCCTCTGCCCTCCGAGCTGTCTTCTTGGAGGGACTGGCGACCTACATCCGTGATGAGATGGCGGGAAAGGAACTGCCCCAGACCCTGGATGAAGTGGTCGATTTGGCGCTGCGCATGGATCAGCGGGTTCTGGTTCGGCCCAAGCCCTTCACTCGCCCATCCAGGGCGCCTGGCCCTCTTCCTCGTTCCCCCACGCCTGCTCCCGGACCCGCTTCTACTGATGAGCCCATGC